CGCCAGATACATGATATCCTACTATTGTGAGGTTACTTAGGGCAATATCACCAGATATATGATATCCTACTAGTGTGAGGTTACTTGGGGTAATATCACCAGATATATGATATCCCACTATTGTGAGGTTACTTAGGGCAATATCACCAGATATACTTGTATGATATCCCACTATTGTGAGGTTACTTAGGGCAATATCACCAGATATACTTGTATGATATCCCACTAGTGTGAGGTTACTTAGGGCATTATCACCAGATATATGATATCCCACTAGTTCAAGGTCACTTAGGGCAATATCACCATACACTAGCTGTATCATACTGACATGATGGTGTCTAGAAACTGTGTAAAGTGTATTATTTGTCATTGTATTAACGTTTAAATCATTGTGATATATACTAGCCTATTCTGCTGCACTATTGCAGGTAAAGAATATAAAGAACTAAGAGTAACCAAAAGAGAAAGACGTCAGCCAACTACTATACCTGATTTACCATATTTACATTGGGAGACAACTGGACAACCTCCAGCTGGACCATATGCAGTAAGTTAACACATTACAGTCTACTTCCACTCTTGATTATATCATTTTGTCTTTTTGATATTTTAATATATTCATCACAAAAATATTGACTGTATTTGGAGACTATCACCTCATATCTGACAGAGGATTTATACTAGTTCGCCTGTTGTGTGATTTCAATGTTTCTGCAATATTTGCCATTAAATTAATTGTTAGATTCTAGTATGCATGACTTCATAACAACTTGCACTGTTGTCATCATCACTAGTTTTTCATGTAGTTACAATAACTTAAACTAATATAAACCATATCTATATATTATCTCACTTGTTGGCACAATTTCGTTTGCATATGTTTAAAAATGTTGTTTGAAAAAAGCCATTAAAATGTACAATGTGTTATAGTGGCGTTAAGTTACCTTTAGTTATTCTGAATTCTCTATGTGTACCTACATGTATATTTATTGTAGATATTTTGAATTACATGATTACTATTATTATACATCTGTCACTGAAACGCCATAAGTTCCAGCGTGCCATAATTTTGCAGTATTTTACGGGGTACTTTCATCCTATCATATTAGAAAATGCGAATTCCAAATATGGAATGATTACGTGCGTAAGCGTCTTCTAAAATAAAAACAAACATGGCTGCCACCAGGGTTTGACGGGACTCTACACAAAGAAGTTCACTGATTCTGCTCTATACTTTTTGGATTTCGACTCGAACAGTACGAAGTGCATGGGTCTACACTCCTGCTGTACTGTCTTTGTGCATACTTTGAGGTATCCTCGTAATAACCTCATAAAATAATGCTGAATATGTCTATAGAAATATTCAGCTTTAGTGCCAGGTCCAAAAATTAATATGTTCCTAGATTTGACGCTTGCAGAATTTCTAAAAAAATTGTACTGGTGGTTGTGGAGGGGGGTATATGTAACTTTGTGCTCAGCTTGGCCATTGATGTCTCTGTTGTGTGATACAGAAATAGGAGATCTGAATTTTCATATCCATGTGTGAAAATTTTTCAGAAATTGTTTTACTTTCTACCGCTGGTTTTCATTTTAAAAATATGTGGAACAAGTCTTATTATTGTCTTGATATGATATAAATCATGACTTGAAGGAATTAAGATTTCAAGACGTATATCTTGTGAGAGAGTGTGATCAATGTCTTTGTTATTCTTACTGATAAATATTACTTTTCACAAGCAGCGGGATAAACACAAACCAACTTTATGGACACAGGTTTGTTAATATACTCATGTCAGGACTATATGTATAGTATAATCAATTATAATTACTTATTTTAATCTTTATTTTAAAAAGCATGTATTCAGCTTTGTTATTGCAAGATTGTATGCTTTTCTACTATTTGCTGTATGGCTGCTTTGGTGTCATCAATATTATTGGTCATGACTACCATCCTTTGGGCTGGCAACAAATCGTGATATTGCTATCACAAATGTGTTGTTATATCTTCTCCGTAGGAGACAATAGATAAGTGTTCTAATATTGACAAAAAGTCTGCCATTCAATAAAATATAATCATTTTCTTGTAAAATTGTTGATAACCAAAATAATTTTGTGTTCACTTTCTTAAATTGACCAGGAAACCATAGTTATTGTAACATTGGTAAAATCTGGATGTTTTCATGTATGAGCAAATTTCTACTCTAACAGTAAATTTCATTTGGTGTCAAACTGTTAAGATGTGAATTGTTATGTGTTTTCTATATTTTTTGTAGGCATTGGGTACATCAGAACTTGATGATGTTGCTGTTCTTAGTAAACCAGACTTTGTGACCCATCCACATAGATATTTCAGTGATCCAGATGACCCATCCTTTAAAGTGGAAAAATTACCTCATATTGCAGATAGTAAGTAGATTTCACATATTACAGATAGTAAGTTATTCCAATCACCATTTATTGTAGTAACAAAAAGAAGATTTCACATATTCCAAATAGCTATTCCAGTTTTTCATATTAGTCGTATGATGATGTTGTAGACACTGATTTGCATATTAGCCATATATGGTGATGTTGTCAATACTGATTTGCATATCAACTACTATGTATTGATATTGTAGACATTGATTTGCATATTAGACATATGATATTGTAGACGTAGGTTATTATAGACATGTTATTATAGGTATTGATTTGCATATTGGTCACATGGTGAATATTGCAAATATTAATTTGCATATTATCCATATATGGTGATATTGCATATTTTTAATCAACCATATATGGTGATATTGCAAATATTAATTTGCATATTAGCCATATATGGTGATATTGTCTACATTGATTTGCATATTAGTCATATATGTGATATTG